ATTGCTTTCATACCGAATAGTAAGAGAGAAGAAAGATAGAAACCTCCAAGAAACTTCCATTTCCTTGACTTTTCAACAAGAAAGCAACTAGCAGGGACCTACCTACTCGTAAATTACCTGTATGTTTCATATAAGTAGAAGACAAAAGTTTGTGATTTCAGACTCAGTAACTTTGAAATAAAAGGAAATTAAGACCTACATAATACAAATGCGATGTAGATTTGCCTTCCATCCATGCTACATTTATCAAAAAGAAACCCACAACCCAATGTCTCTTCAAAATTTCTTCAAATTTCTCAAGAAAACATCAGTTAAAGAAAGGGGAAGAAAACCTTCAGCACTTTCAGAGGGACTATGTCGTCAATTTTCACTAGCTGAGCTGAAAGCTGCCACCTACAACTTTGATGATGATTTGAAAATCGGTGAATGTGGTTTTGGCCCAGTGTACAGGGGCTTCATTGATGGCGGCTCCATGGTCGTCGCTGTCAAACGCTTGAGTAGATCATCCCCACAACGAGTTGAAGACTTCCGAAATGAGGTAGAGTTACTCTGCCAACTGCGCCACCAAAATCTTGTCTCTCTCGTTGGAATGCTGATCCATGGAAGTGGAGGCATGATCATCCTTTTGGGGATGCTGATCCGCTCCCATGGAAGCGGAGGCTAGAGATATGCATTGGGGCAGCGCGTGGACACTACCTTCACACAAGTACAAAGTATGCAATAATCCGCCGCGATGTCAAGCCTCGCAATATTCATCTGAACAAAAATCGGGATGCTAAGCTTTCAGAGTTTGGGTTATCCAGGATTGGTCCCTCTAGCATCTCAAAACCTAAGCCCAACGCTTTGACAAAACGGACAGATATAGCAGGTACCAGTGGCCATATCGCTTCAGAGTGTTTTCGTGGTGAACTCAGCGAAAAAGCTGACGTACACTCACTAGGTATTGTTCTGTTGGAAGTATTGTGTGGTAGAAGGATGGTTGACCCCGAGGCAGAAGCCAGCACGTGGATTTAGCCTTGATAACCAAGTCGGCTTTCTCCTGCAGCTCCAATGCAAGTTCTAAGGTAACCTCAACTTCTCCCATTGAAGGCCGTTCAATTGGATTTAGATATACACAATTGAGAGCGATCTCCATATATTCTATCAAACACACCGGTGCTATCTTCCCTTTCAGAAATGGATCGATCATATCATGAACACAGCCGTTTTTGATGCAGTCAATGATCAAGGAAATCAAATCCCCTCCTGCTATGAAGCCTTTTAACTTTCTACCACACAATACTTCCAACAGAACAATACCTACTGAGTACACATCAAGTTTTTCACTGAATTCACCATACTTTCCATACTAAGGTACATTTGGGTATATGGCTATGAGTAAGGAAGGTATGGTGAAGCAGTGAAAAACTTTATGTGTACTCACTAGGTATTGTTCTGTTGGAAGTATTGTGTGGTAGAAAGTTAAAAGGCTTCATAGCAGGAGGGGATTTGATTTCCTTGATCATTGACTGCATCAAAAACGGCTCTGTTCATGATATGATTGATCCATTTCTGAAAGGGAAGATAGCCCCGGTGTGTTTGATAGAATATGTGGAGATCGCTCTCAATTGTGTATATCTAAATCCAAATGAACTGCCTTCAGTGGGGGAAGTTGAGGTTACCTTAGAACTTGCATTGGAGCTGCCGGAGAAAGCCGACTTGGTTAAGCTGACAATCCACATGCTGTCTATGCCTACGAAGATCTATCATTTCGTGTTTCTGTTGAAAAAATCATCTACTACTAGCTACCCAACAGTTATACTGGAGAATTGGATGCAGGATCGGTCTCGGATGCATGCAGAATTGATCACCGATGTAAGAGTGATCTCCATTGTCGAATCATAAATTGATAGAGATGAGTTTGGGAATGGGAGTCTTTCTGTAAAATCAATATTAATTTTTATTGATGAAGAGATTGATGCAATTAAATCAAATCAAAGGAGACTCAACGTTTTATTCAAAATTCAAAATTAAATGGTGTTATCAAATCTTTGATTACTTTACCTAGCTGTTAATTTATTTATTTTGTGTATCCTATCGTAAACCGCACTGAAAATTTCTCAAGCTGTAAGGTTTATTATATTTCCTCCTATATCAATGCCAGTTTTTACTGCTTTGACTGCAATGGCAAACTTGAAAGAATTAAGCCGGCAAGATCAGCTATTTTCAATGATAAAATACACCTATTTCAGGTATTGAATAGAGAAAAAATTTATTGGACTTGAGAGATGGGATAAAACAATCACCTTTCCGTTTATCGCTAGACTAGAAGACTAGCAATCTTCACTTAGACAACAAATACATCACATTCTCTTAAAATTTCTTATGAAAATACATGGAAATGCGAGATCCTAACTAAGACTAACATAAAAAAATTTCTGTACTAATTCACACCAGTAAAGTTAAACATAAAAAAAAAAAAAGCAACTGAAATGTAATTTGGAAATCAGCTCGACATTTGGAAATGACGCCATTTTGGCTCTTAAATGGGCAAAAAAAATATATAATAGAGTCAGTCTCCGTACAGGAAAACTGGCTCTGTTCTTTTTTTTTTACTCTAGTGCTTAAATGTTTGTGCCCTGTTTTATTTTTGCAAAATAACATTTTTTTTTTACAAAGATAATGGTTAATAATTAGGTTATGAATTGTTAGTAATTGAAGATTCGATTCTTAAAATAAGTGATTTCTCACGTCTCATTGAAAGGCGTGACTTATCGGGTCGCATGGTGAAATTTAAATAATTAGAGCAGCGTTGGACATGCTCTTAAACAGGGTTATAATTTAACAAGTTTGTTGGTTAGTTTTATTTAAGATGAAAACTTTATAATTTAATTAATTAAAAAATTTATTTCTTTCAAACAGTGAGTTTAAGAGTTATGTATGAATAAATAAATAAATTTGCAAATTTCTCCAATGTTGATATCAATTTTTATTTTATTCTTAATATAAATTTATGAAAAAAATATTTATTATATTATAAGCTTATGGCTAAAAAAAAAAAAAAAAACTTAAAAAAAATGCGTCCTGCATAAAAATTGTAAACCTCCCCTCGATGTTTCTCCCCGTGGAAGTTTAGACCATTTTTTTCCATCCCTTATCTATCAGCATTTGATTGGTGGATTGTGCATTTATCCATTGATTTCATGACACGTGAATTTTAAAAGGCGAAGAAGTATTGAACCTAATATTTATTAGACAAAATTAGGCGTAAGATCTAGAAGTACGAAATGTAAAGATCAATGGACCATGACAGTAAAACAAAAAAATAAGACAAATTACAAAAGAGACTCAACAACTACATGAAAAATATATGAACAAACTCATTCTCTGATGCACGAAACCTATAATGTCTAAGGTTTAACATGTAACTGAAATTCTTGTAAGACTAGAGTCTTTCAAGTTGAAGGGATCTTTGAAATATCTACCAATAATTTGTGTAGGGATTGAGGCTTCGAGAAAAATGGTGAGTGGTCTGCACCTTTGAGACAGAATACCTTCTCTGGAGGGTTTGAGTTTATCATGCTCTCCTGCAGTGTGATGGGAATGGCGTTATCTTGAAGAGTTTCCATATAAAACCGCCTCACAGATCCATATTTCATTTCAGAAAGTGACAGCTTTTCCAAAACTGGTGCAAAAGGTATTTGCCTCATCAAAACAGAAGCTAATGCAACATCCTGGATCAGGGGAGCAAAAAAGAAATTAGAAATTGTTGAGGATGCTGACAGATGCAGGGGAGAGACAGAGAGAGAGCAAAGCAATATCAAATTTGAATAAGGAGCCAAAAGGGTATTTTGTCATGTTAATTTGACAAAATGACCATAAATCATTCTGAACACGTAGTGCTACTCAATTAGAAAAGCCAAACTTGGTAGCTCTTTGAGTAATAATTAACAGAAATTTGAAATGCATCTAACAATGTTAAGTGAATCCACTGCACAAACTTATCAACAAGCATTTTTGACTGTCTAGAAATTACATGCTTCTAGTACTTACGTGTAGTGGCCAAGTTTGACATGTTTTAACTTCTAACCCTTCTTAAACGGAGATATATTGCATTTCAAATCCTTGGTTTTTTTCAAAAAGATTTTCTGGTTTGGCTCTCAAGCCAAGGTCATCCAAGGTTTTCAAGATTTTCTATATAGATGCACTTCGACAGTAATCATGCCTACTTCAAACTATCTGATGGGAACACATGGGAAACCACTTGATATATATTTTTTTTTAGGCCAAAAAGACTACTTGATGATTAGATATTCAAATAATCACGAAAATATAAACTCTTTGTTTGTATCATTCCATGTGCTATTAGTGGATATGGAAAGACATGGATATGATTGTATGGTACTGGTAGCATGTTTAAAATTTCTAAGTTATGCCATGTTGCAAAATATACGAGTTCTCATCCAGAAGCAAAAAGAAGGAAAGTTGGTCTATGACTATGAGAAATACGGAAAAAGAAAAAACATAACTTGCAAGTTCAGATGTACCTTGCAAGGGCTTTCATTGAATAACAAGTCCCCTGATAATGACTTGTCTAGTTCAACAGCAGTTGGTGGGTGATCGCTCCCATTAGCATACAAAAAGTTTCTAGCCCGCTGCATCAGATCAATTGAACCTGCCTGTAACAGTTCAAAACCTTGATTCAATTCATTCAAAATACCACTGATAGGAGATTGGTTAGATTGATTAATTGTTTAGGAATAGAATTAATAGAATATCATATGTACCTTGAAAATGGAGAAAGGCTCCTTAATTGGACATTGGAAGTCATAAGCAAATTGTATTCTTGTTTCATGATTTTCATAATCCTCAGTCCACATGTATGTGGACAGGTTTAACCAAAAACAAATCATAGTACAAGTTCCCTTGCCTTCCAAGTTCCTTCCCTTAATGGTTTCTTGACCATAAATGGGAAATAAGAATAAGTTTTATGAACAAGTTTTACATTCTCTAATGTTACATCATAAGCAGTATGGAAAGGAAAGAATTTTCTAACTCTATGAATCTCCTAGCATTAAGGTCATTGATTCTGCACATTACTAATTCAAAAAGATGTAAGCAAACCAAGGACCAAGGCCTTAAAACCGCATATTGTTAAAAGACGACAGTCCATATGATTAAAACAGGATGCTAATGTACCAACAGGAGCTTGGTTGAGTAGGTCCTCACTAATTGTAGCCTATAAGACCTTGATTTGTGGTCAAGGTAAGGGGTTCAAAACCTCTTCAATGCTAAGTAGTTCAAGTTTTGATGTATCAAAAAAGGAAGTAAAAAGTTGATGTAAATTATGCAAGCAAATTAGTAAGTTCAGAGGAGCTGAGAACTGAGAAGCTAGTTGACCTACACACAATGTAAAAGAGGATATCTAAAGTACTGTTATTATGTAATGCACTTTCAAATATACACATGTGAATGACAATTTTTTGAAATTCAATAATGATTGAACATAAGCAAACCTGCTGGGAGAACATATCCAAAGTACTCTGTCCATTGGTCACCATTGTTGCAGCAATAAAAACAGCCTTGGCAATTCTAGAAGGAAACAACTCCATTGCATATGATATGCACGTGCCACCAAAATCATGCCCAACCAAGATCACCTGCATAGTTTCAATGATATAACAACATGCCTTAGTTTTGTTCATCTGTTAACCCCATGAAAGTTTGTGATGACAGTAAAGAATGCAAGTAGCTTGCCAGCAGGAACATGCAACCACATATTTAAAATTTTAGCAAAAA